ACTAGGCTAATATCTCCCGCTAACACCACAGACATATTGGACCTGAGAGAAAAAAAAATTTCTACCTTAGAGATAAGTACTTGTAGTTGTTTGCTACTTTTTCAGTCTGGACTGTACGTAGCATTACTATGATAAATATATAGTTACCACTTAAAATCATTCTAGTTCTTAATTTAGCCGTGTTGAATTCAATTTAATTACGTTAACAACTTTGTTCAAATGACCATGCCAGTCTTCAGTTCTCACTGCCTCCTGGCTGCGGCCTGTGTAGCTAGCTAAAAACAGTATGAACAGCTGAGGCTCTGTCCTCCGAGCACATACTTAGTATTTTTGATAGAATCAAATTCATGACATTTTTCTCATTCACATATTTTTGTTTCTGCTGTCGGACGATAGAACTAGTATGAATTACTGAGTGGAGCGCGGGTCCTGTAGACTACCTGCTATCCGTTGCTATCCTGAAGCTCTCGTCAGGTTCTCGTCTCAATGCAGAGTGAAAAAAACAAAAGCTCTCCGCTGCTCCTTTGTCACTCAACAGAGAGAAGGAGAAAAACCTCTCACTCTATAAACTGCAATAAAGCAATACTCGTGAACCGAGTCGCTACTTTTGGCCCTTCTTTGGGGAAATAAATCTAGGGGTGAAAAATCTGTAAATCTAGCAAAAAAGACAGTTAGAAAAACAGAAGTGGAACTGGAACTGAAGGGGAATATGCAATCTGATTGGTTGGAAGCGTCATGTGGGGCACTGTGCCAGCTAGATGCAGAAATGAAAGGAGAAGCGCTGCAGCCCAATATTGCCCAATAATCCGTTTGTTTATCCACAAGGAGGGAAAATTATTTTCCAGGACAACTCAAAAATTTCCAGGACATTTTGCAATTCCCCCCATTTTCCATGTGTTTTCCATGACTGGAAAATTGGACTATCATTTTCCAGGTTTTCCAGGACGCGTGGGAACCCTGCAACTGGCATGAGACACGGGTGGAAGGGGTGGGGGGTGGGGGTGTAATCTTTACAGTAAGTATACAAAAAATATGTATACAAGTACAGCTTTTAGAGGCTTTTTTATGCAACGTCAGAAATGCATAACTGTCAAGTATACAGGTGGCAGGAACGGCCAATCACATGTTAGCAAGTATCAGATGAGCTTATAGACGCTTCTAATGGCAAAACGGGCTTCATCACAAGCAGTTGTATTCTGCTTGGTCCCAATGCTCAACAAGTGTCTATTTAATAAAGCCTAATATTGTTTTTGGATAGTAAAAAGTACAGGAGACAAAACTTGGCGTTGTAAAAAGTGAGGGGACATGTCCCCCCCCCACACACACACACACACACAAAACTACATCCATGGGTTTAAGTACAGAATCAGAAACAGCTTCTCTGTTTTAGAGCTAACCAGAATTCCCACATGAACTCACAGTAAGGCCGGGCTGCAGTGCATCATGGTGCTTTCTTCATTACTTCAAGAGCCGGGCAGGTTCAGCCTGGAGGACAATCAGCCAGTGTCATGAGTGAGGCATTTGAGCGTGAATCCCGCAAAGAGAAAATTACAGCGATGCATTCAGGTGCTCCCTCAGCCATGCGTTCAGAGTGCTTCTGGGGGCTGAGGAGAGAGGCAAAGTGGATGTGACAGGATAAGATTAAATGCCAGAGACAGGGCGTTTCTCACACACACTGCAGCCTCCTGGACAGCAGCCTAATTAGACACTTCCATAGTCTGCCATCAGCTCTCCCAACAACACGCTTCTCCCAATAACACATTTGTTCATTTTACAAAAAGTACAACTAAAATGAAGTGCTAGGAGAGAATTCAGAACATAGCTCAATTAGCTCCTGAAGGATCAATAGGTTGAGAATGATTTTTGCCCATTTAAAAACATCTACAGGTGTCAATTTACAGCATTTTCCCCTATCATCTCCTTAAACTGTTAAGTTTTTATCTATTTATTTGCTACAGGGTTTCTGCATTTCTACACTGTAAAAAAAAGTAGATTTTACAGTATGCCGCCAGTGTCGGTACAAGATCTGCTCGGGTACATGATCGGCTCAGGGTACTTCGACTACCGATGACGTCAAAGTAGTTGATTGGCTGAACATGAACCTTACGGAATTACGTAATCACGTTACGTTGTTATCACGTTACGTTGGTCCAGGCAAATTTTTCTGTTGGAAAGATGGACAACTTTTACAAAGAAATCCATCATTACCTCTTTGAAAATACACTTTTAGCATAGAGCTGCTGTATATTAGGGCTGAACGATTAACTGCATGTGCAATTAAATTGCGATGTGACAAAAGGAGATTTTCTCATCGCAAAGGCTGCAATTTGGCAGCGAGTGGTTAGCGCAATGCTAATATACATGGAAAAACTCATAGGAATGCTAATGCTAATATCACCAATTACATTCTTACAAATTATGAATTAGAAACGTGCCAAATGATTACATTTGGAGTCTAATAGAAAGTAAAACTACCATCAATCAAATAAGTACAGACAGGTATTTTAGTAAAGCCAGAAAACTTTTAACTCCAGAGTTTTGGCTAGCAGCTATGAGCGTAACTGAACTACGCATGGACAAGACGTCAAAAACTCTAAACACAAAATACTTCAATAAATGGGACACACTTCTTTCCTGCAAATACAATTTCACAGTTGTTGCTAATACCTATGATCCTTCAAGGGATGTGCTCAAAGAGGAGTTCAACATTATGAATACAAGATAGTGTTTTATTTTACAAATACCATTATAAACACAAACTTACGTCTTAAGAAACATTATTTTAATAACGAAACTGCTAAATTCTTTCCAACAGTATAGATGTGTAGTGTATTTTGTCCGAGTGGGTTTGCCGTACTTTGACGTCATCGGCAGTCGAAGGACCCCGAGCTGATCTTGCACCCGAGCAGATCCTGTACTGACACCGGCAGGTGGGGTTGCTAGAATGGTACCAAAATAATAACTGGCAAATCTTTTTTTTTTTTCAATTACAATAAGAAGGTATTTTCATAATTGTTTCTTCGGTTGAAACTGGTGCATAAGTCAGTATTTTACTGTAGAAGAAAACGATTTTACTTGAAGAAAAGACATTCTTTTATCGTAAAATGAACATATAAACTATAAATATAAAATAAGAATTGCGCCACTAAAAACCAATTTCAAAGGGTTTTCTATATTACATACAGTCACATTTCACGGTTCAATTCATAGTATAAAGCAGGGATGTAAATAACGAACATGTTAACTTCCAATAAGGTCAAAACTGGTTACAATAACGTTGCCTGCTTGAATGTTGTTTGCATCTTTTACCTGTGCTTGTGTTTAATTTAGCTGTGAAAAAAGCAATAATGACATCAGTATTGAATAGCAGCACAGCCTTCACGTGCAATCACGAGTCAGGTCAAGAACAGACACTTCCCTCTGATTAAAGCTTGGTTTATGCTTGACGCATATACTTTCTGCTTGGTGATGCGGCTCGCGGATGGAACGCGCTTCACATCTTGCAGCGTTTATGGTTCATGCGGCTTGTCTCTGCAGTGAGCCAAGGGTTGTATTTACGAACTCTGCCATAACTAGTTCTTGCCAGTCCACCATGTTTTTCCGTGTTCGACCGTCCGCGTGGTTAGAAAATTTCCTAGGTGTGCGGTACGGAAATTTTGGGCTGTGCGGAGGCCAGGTGGATGGGCGTGGTTGTTAAAATGACGCGAGTTTGCCGCATGGAGCCGTGCGAACCTCGCAGACGCGTCAAGCATAAACCAACCTTAACGGCTCAGCCAGACCTCACTAAATATCGCAATGCACACTGGGAAACAGGAAGTAAGTAGCTCTAGAGAGCACGAGTGTGCAGCTATCAAGATATGTTAATGCAAACACCACAGAAGAATAGGTGAGCTTGTCAAATGATCAAATAAATTAACTTAATTGTTTACGCTTAACCGACTATTAAGGGCGTCAATAGCTGGTTAAAGAACTTTTGCAGAAAACATGCCTTTTTAACGCAATCTAATCCATAATTTTTTATGTGAATTTAATGCAAATTTCAAAGTGTCGAATTGCGCCATAATTGCCATTACCAGAAATTAAAAGCTGTGTTTTTTTCAATAATTAAATGAAAAAAATCATGTTTTTCCATTAGAAACTTTAAGAAATTTTCAATGAAAATGTGACACAAGAGTGCTTTACTGTAGGATTATGTATTGTTCTCAAAATTAAACTGTACAAATAACTCTTTTCACCAATTAATTTATCTACGCCAACCTCCCGTAAACTCATCAGTTTTGAAGACTTTCATAGTGTTTTTTCTGTCGTGGTTTTACGGTTTATCACTGTAAAATATACAACTATTTTTACAGTGTACAGGAACTTGTCAGAGTGCATCACCAAGAGAAGGTCAGAAGATTTTTTACCCTGGCACAACAGATACCGTCTCCTGCTCAGATAGTCCATTCTTCAGGGATATTATCACGTGGCGTAAGCAGGATCTTCTCCTCTCCACCCGCCAAGATATCTGCTCACATGCCACACCGCAGGCATGCCAGACAGGAAATAAATCTGATTACAGAGCGTGTGGGGGTAATGTTCAATAATAAAAAGTATTATTTGCCGTGATCAATACGCGTCGCCATAACGATAAAGTACAATAAATGGAAAGTGCTGGAAGACTGCCGTAAATTTTGATGCATTGCGATATTGAACACATTGTGACAACACGCTGCCTGCCAGGGCAGTAAAACATCCTCCAACAGGCTGTTGAACATCCGCCCGCCACATCCTTACACACCACAACAGCCATACATCAAGCTGCAGCCAACGCCAAAAGTGTGAGAGGGATTACCAAGCAAAAAAAATGGAATAGGGCTGCATTTTCATCAGCGGGGAGTGGGTCTGAGTGGAAGTGTGTGTGTGAAATTAATGGATATGCTCTTTACACAAGAGTTTGCATCAAAGGGGGGTGGGGTGGGGTGATCAATCACTCAGTGAAAGCAGCAACATGAATCTGTATGACAGATGGATCGCTCTGTGACATGAGCATCAACACACCCAAACACCGAAGCACGGGCGGCACCCTGTCTGACCCCCCCGGGCCTCCCTGGAATCTTCCTTCCATCGGGAGACTCGAGGTGTTTAAGAACGTTATCTCAAATGCACAGCTGTCTCAAAGGTCTCGCTGGAATAGGTCTGCAATTTTCCCTCCTAATTAAAAATTAATTAAATCGGCTGTGGCTCTAGCCAGGCATAAAGCTGACGGCCGCCACAGCAGCCACCACTGGAAACGCAATCATTTATTTAAGTCAATTACAGGAAGCCACAGCAGAGCCTTCCAACACGCCGACGTCACCCGCAGAGGGCCAGGTGGGGCCGGGCTTCGTCGAGCTACTGCTCAAACGGCCTCTGTGCACGTTAGCGCTCTAAAACTTCTCATGTTCCATAGACGACTGAGTGGGAAACGCGGCGCATCGATGCTGCTTTGGGATTCTGCTCTCATCTCCCCTGCTGTGATTAATATATGCACATACCCATAGAGATATCCAGTGTCACCTGTTGCTCCCCTCTGGTCCCAGGGGGCTGATTTTGGGTGATTGATCAGAGATTCAGACACAGGATCAATGAGACTTTCACCTTTCCCTTGGCAAGAGCAGGAGGCTCAGTGATGGCCTACTGTGCTGTCCAATTATTCAGTAATAGAACACTGGAACATGCCCAGGACTATTAACACCGCCAAACCAGGAAATGGCAAATGGGACGGCTAATTGTTGAGCTCTTTAGTGAAGTGGGATAAAAATGTTCTGTCCTAGTGTCTTCTTGTTTGATTTGTTTAGCATTAAATGAACAATCTCATGTGCGTTTCTGTGTAAAAGTCATAATCAACTATTTTAGTCAGATTCCGGAACGGCCTCAGTTGGGAGAAATAGAGTTTATCTCTGACGACTAGTCTTAGAGCAGCCACGTTTCTGTCTGTTGCATTGTTACATTTTTATTCAGTGATGTTTTATCAAATGATTGTGTTATGATACATACATTTAGACAATAATTTAAATGTAATGATGTACTTTGGAGGTAACAGGGTGGAGCTTGCTTTTACAAAAGAAAACATTTATTTTTTAGCACATAGAAGGTATGTATGTGTGTGTGTATATATATATATATATATATATATATATATATATATATATATATATATATATATATATATATATTTATATATTAGGGGTGCAACAATACATGTACCCGTATTGAACCGTTCAATACGGAGCTTTCGGTTCGGTACGCATATGTACCGAACAATACAGTATTTTTTATATTTATTTTTATCAATTTTTCTTCTGACGATGAGATCCAGTGGATCTGGGTGATCTGCGTTCGACTACTCCGCCTGAGGTCGCATTGTCGAGCGCAGATCCACTTAGCGCCGCCCACATGCTTGATAGCGGCGAGACATGAGAAGTTAGCTAATTGCTAGTCATGGCAGCTGCCTCAGCGGTCCCCGAGATTTAACCTCCTCCTCCGTCTTTCAGATCTACAGTTTGGAACTTTTTTGGCTTTCATGTGAAGCGTGACCCTGATGGTAAGCGCGTTGTGGACAAAACTACCACAGTATGTCGGAGATGCCACACAATGCTTAATTACTTCAGCGGGAACACAACAAATATGACTGTACATTTACGCCGACATCACCCTGATGCAAAGACAAGTGGAGTCAGGGAAAAACAGCAACAACCAAGCATGCAAAAAGCTCTTCCCGAGTCATTTAGACAGCCGTTTACACGTGATTCCAAGAGGGCAAAAGAAATAGACAGGGTGATAGCTACTTTTATTGCTGTCGACATGCGACCGTTTTCTGTAGTAGACAACATCGGGTTTCGGGAGATGCTGAGAGTACTTGAGCCCCGTTACAATCTTCCTTCACGAACGTATTTCACCGAGACCGCAGTTCCTGCTTTGTACAATGAGACGAAAGCCAAATTAGAGACGGCAGTGTCAGCAGCACCCGCTGTTGCTCTGACCTCAGACGGCTGGACGTCAAGAGCTACACAGAGCTTCCTGACCGTCACCGTACATTATATTGATGCAGAATGGCAAATGAAAAGCAGTGTTCTGCAGACACGCCTCATCGAAAGTCACGCCACAAACGACTTGGCCAAAGCTCTGTCAGAAGCAGTGGAAGACTGGAAGTTAGTGCGAGCAAAAGGTACTATACCTGTAACTACTGACAACGCCAGGAACATAGTTAATTCTGTCACAGCTGCTGGGCTGGGGCCACAAATTGGATGCTTTGCACATACCATTAATATAGCAGCTCAGAAAGGAATGGCAGTGTCGAAAGTTTCCCATCTCCTTGCAAAGATGAGGAAAATAGTCACCTTTTTTCACAGAAGCACAACAGGACACAATGTGTTGAAGAGAAAACAGGAGCTGCTACAGCTTGGTGAAAAAAAACTGATCCAAGATGTTTCAACCAGGTGGAACTCCACCCATGACATGATGGAAAGATACCTTGAACAGAAAGATGCAGTGTTTGCTGCTATGGCTGACAACACTGTGAAGAAGAACATGAAGAACATAAACAGTCTATCTGATGATGAACACACACTGGCTGAAAATCTTGTTGCAGTCATGAAAACCCTAAAAACTGTCACTATCATGATGTGTGAAGCATCATCTCCCACAGCATCCATGATCATGCCACTTAAAATAAGCATACTGAACTCCATGGTACAGTCTGATGATGACAGCCCAACAGTGAGAGATGTAAAAAAACACATCAGGGATGACCTGGAGCAGAGATACACAGATCCTGCCATTCAGCATTACCTCCACAAGTGCACGGCTTTAGATCCACGCTTCAAGTCCCTGCGACACTTGGATGATGCCACTCAGCTGAGAATTTTTGCAGCACTCAACACAGAGATTGTCCTGAGCATTGAAGAAGTAAGTATTATTTTATAAATGTTTGATAATTTCTTTTGCTACTACATGAGTTGTAAGTTTTAATTAAAAAAATACAATTAATTTAATTAATTTGTATTTTTGTTTTTTGTATTTCTTCAGGGTCAAGCTGCAGGCAACACAACAACAGCCCCCTCTACGGATACCGAAGCACCACACTCTTCAGATTCACCATAATCTCCACCAGAGAAGAAGTCAGCCATGAAGGAGTTGTTTGGAGAACTGTTCATGGGACAGGAGCCAAGGACCAGGTCTGCAGCCAAAGTGGCAGATGAGGAAATTAACTTGTATAGGTTAGCGGACTGCATTCACATAGATGATAATCCACTGAGATGGTGGAAAGAACATCACAGCTTGTACCCTCACCTTTCCAAGTTGGCACTGTGTTACTTGGTTGTACCAGGGACCTCTGTCCCAAGTGAGAGGGTGTTTTCCACTGCAGGTGACATTGTCACAGCAAGCAGATCTGTACTGTCAGCAGAACATGTTGACATCCTCATTTTTCTGAAGAAAAACATGGAAGTTGAGTAAACTGATATTTGGTTTGTCTTTAAGTGAAAATTTTATTTAAGTTATTTTTGTTGTTTTTTAAGTTATTTTTGTTGTTTTTTAAGTTATTTTTGTTGTATATGCAGCCTTAGCTGCCAGCACTCCAGAAGATGAGTGTGAGGGAGAGTTCCATAAAAGATTGGTTCATTTTATAGGGACCTTATTTGTTTAATTGCTGCTGAGAATATAGCCCAGAGGATGGCTATTGTATAGCTATTATTTTGGAAAAAAGCTACTTTAGTTTTCCACAGATTATTTTCTTAGTTACATAAGTTTGCTATTTTAGCAACATTTAATTTACAAAATTGTACTTTTGAGTTAAAACAAATATTTGTTAATAAATTTCAATGAATGACAAATTTGAAAAGGTATGAATACAATTTTTTTGTATCGAAAAAATATCGAACCGTGACACCAATGTATCGAATCGAACCGAACCGTCCATTTTGTGTATCGTTGCACCCCTAATATATATATATATATATATATATATATATATATATATATATATATATATATATATATATATATATATGTGTGTGTGTGTGTGTGTGTGTGTGTATATATATATATATATATATATATATATATATATATATATATATATATATATATATATATGTGTGTGTGTGTGTGTGTGTGTGTGTGTGTAAAGAAACTGCCGGAATATTTCAGACTAAATTAATTTTAAGTCAGCAGAGATTCATTTTGGGCCATGTTGAGCTAATCTTTGTTTCTCCCATCATAGGCCATTCAAATATTAATTATTCATGACCTTCCCAAAGAAACCACAGCTCACTGAATTGACACCATTTTGGTCCTACACATGCAGCTGCTCTCATCATTAATAGATGTGCTCTTGAAAAATAATTACCCGTGAGAGTCTTGTTTTATCTGCTGCATTACCTGATTTATTTCAGACATTCTGATTAGTCAAATAGACTCTCACTTCATGCATTACTCACACACACAAAAAATCACTGTTTCTGCGCCTCAGTGTTTTGTCTCCATTTGTCCCCTTCTGAGTTTTAATACGAACTTTTCTATTTGATTTTGACTTTCCTTCCTTTTCAGTCTTTCTGGCTTTGACACCTTTCATAGTGGACAACATCTACTCACTCACTGGACAGGTCTCTAGTCCATCGCAGGGACACAGAGACACATGACCAGTCAGGAGAAATATGGTTACTCTAGAATAAAAGACTGAAGACAGGATTCAAAACCACAACCTTCCCACTCAGATGCACCACCATGAAACTGTCCAATAATATATGAAAATCTGTTTTGTCTTCCATATTTCATACGTTTTGAAATGTTGACACAATCACTAGTTGAAAATGTAAAAGAACGATGAAAATGATGTCTGTATGTTAAAATATGAAGTATTCGACAGGGAGAGAAAGTGGCTCTATGGTGGGGAAATACTGTCCACTCGTTTAATTATTTTTTAATACATCTACTGTGGTCTCAAGTATAAATTAATGCCTTGTGAGTAGCGATGGGTACTATGGATGAGCGAGTACACCACTATCTGTATCTGTTCAACCAACTAAATTATCTTTATCTGTATCTGTACTCGGAATGGGCGTGGCATAACCCGGAAGTGGGCATGGTTTAACCGGAAGTGGGTGTGGTTTACATCAATATATTATTTTAAGTCTGAAATTGATATGGATTGATCAGAAGTTGCTATGTGTGTGGTTTATTTGAAAACTATTTACAGAGCAGCCTCAGAATTGAGATTAAACATTTTTGATCACAATAGTATAGAAACCATTACAGAACAAGTGTTTCAATAAAATCGGGACATTAACATTTAAGTGCATGGATTAATACATCTGAACTCATGCAGTAGGAACTAGGAAATATGAAATGCTAGAACCAGACACAACTTTATGTATATTTTTTTTATTTTAATTTGATTAAACTGATTTTTTTCTTAACGTTCTTGGCATTTTGCCCCACACAAAGTTAAACAAAACAATGTGGATTGAGGTGTGTGTGTCTGAGAGAGATAGAGAGGGTGAGAGGGAGAGAGAGGGAGTTAAAAAAAAAATAAACGACCGGAGCGGAGGTAGTGAGTGACTGATGCAGCACGTCAGCTGTCTTGTCAAATGCACCATGTAAGTTACGAAAAAAGTAACTTTAAATACTCAACTGAAAAAGAGGAGAGCTGAAGAAAATCTGTGGAAAACTGAAGAAACGTGAGCAACAGTGAAGCAAGCACAGCGAGATCCGTTACTGTCTGTGTGTGTGCGTGGATGAGCCGGACAGACTGCGCTCCCATCCGGCTAGAGAGTTTTGTGTGTAGGGAGGGGTGGGCGCTCTATGTGACTGGCCAATCACAGAGCATGAAGACAGTCAGTTACCCAATGAGGAATTTCCTTCAGCACGATTACAGATATTTACGAGGTTTACTCGTGTCATGCTCGTACTCGTCAAAAATGCTTTATCCGTGCCGGATACTCGTCTGAAACGAGTATCCGGCTCATCCCTAATAGGTACTGAATTCGGTACTTTTTAAGGTACCGACCGAATTCCACAGTACTGACTGAGCACCGATTCACGTCATTTGAAACGGTGCCTCGTTTCGGTACCCGTCCTTCATAACGAGAACTTGCCTAGACAGCTGCGCATGCGCAAGAGCGTTATGTCGTCGGTCGCTGCGAGCGAGTTGTAAACAGAGCAGCATGGTAGAAAGAACGCACGCTAAAGCTTGGGTCCACTTCACTAAATGTGATGGGTAACTGGGTGATGATGAAACCAGCGACAACAATCTCAGTGAGAAATCCTCATCTTAATCTCCTCCGGTACATAAATGTTTAAGATAACGTTAGCTTGATATGGTAGCTTCCGTTTCGCTAATGGTGCATTCGCTTTCTCCTCGGAACTCTGAATTTCCGACTAGAAGAACATGAACACGCTCTAAAGTTTGGCTTCACTTTACTAAATGCGACGGGTGAATGGGTGAAGATGAAACCAGCGACAACGATCTAAGTGTGAGGCATCATCCTTTTAATCTGCTCCAGCAGCTAAATAAACTGTTTAAAGGGACTTTACGGAGTTTTGAATTTTTATGCTCGCGATTGTCCCCTCAGGCCAAAAGCGTAACGGCAGCTTCAATAGTAGGCTCGTGCACGAGGCGCGCATGCTGTACGTGCACACTCCTTAACGAAAATATCAGCTGAGACGAAGCTCTGAGCTCTGAGACCTGACAGTCCCTTGTGTGTGTGTGTGTGTGTGTGTGTGTGTGTGTGTGTGTGTGTGTGTGTGTGTGCGTGTGTGTGTGTGTGTGTGTGTGTGTGTGTGTGCGTGTGTGTGTGTGTGTGTGTGTGTGTGTGTGTGTGGGCCGGAGGACAGAGGACAGGAGAAAGCGCAGCTAATTAATTAAATAATTTGGTTCTGTACCTTTCTCTTCAGCACAACCGACAAAGGTTTATGATGGGTCAGTCATTTAGGAAGCTAAGAGCACACGATGTGAACAAGGACATCCTAACAATTGTATACAAATCACTGATCGAATCCATTCTAACTCACAATATTACAGCTTGGTATAACTTTCTTACAGTTAAAAACAAAACACAACTCTCGCATTGTTAAATTAGGCAGCAAAATTACAGGTTCACCTCAGATCCCACTTTCTGTTCTTCACGAGCGTGCAGAGCACAGGAAGGCTACCCTGATCAGTGCAGACTCAACCATCCATTCAACCCACATTTTCATTTACTTCCATCAAGGAGGTACATAGTTCCATTGGCCAACAAAGGTGTCTGTAAGAAATCATTTGTTCCCACCGCAATTACAATTTTGAATTCTTAAAGTTTTATTTTTTTTACGATAACATTTTAATACCTTTTAATTGTCTTTTATATATTTGTGTGAATGCGATATGGATTGTATTGTAAGGTGAGCCATGTCAAAGGCGAATTTCTGCCTCAATTCGAGGTGGACAATAAAGTTTATCTATCTATCTGTCCTCCTGCACGCTCAGATAATTCCATTCCCTTGCTTGAAAAATTGTTCCAAAATGAAAGTTGAACCCATATCTTTTTTTATCTGTGAATTGAATGCCGTTCGGCGAGTCTTAAATAAATATTTGGTCATCTTACTGTAAAAAAATATATCATTAATGTAAAAAAGAAACTCTAAAACAACCATGTTCACATCCAGAATCAAACCCAGGTCTTCTGCACAAAAGCCCAAAGCCTTACAAGGCGAGCTAAATCACAAGTGGCATCTTCTGTATCTGTAACAGTTATATCGTTGATGACAGCTGAAACAACGTTCAAAGAACGGTTCGGAGGGCCATGCCTGAGTGTGAACGCGCATGAAGCAGTCTGCTCGACCCGAGCAACTCTCTTTTTCTGTGATTTTACAGAAAAATAGGCAATCACAGTAAAAATGCCAGGGCTCATTCTACAGGACCAGGGAATTGCAGGAGAATGTATGAAGAAGACATTTATTATTTCTATACATGTTTTGGCTGTCAAACTTCCATAATGCCCCTTTAAGATAACGTTAGCTTGATATGTTAGCTTACATTGCCGCCATTGTCATCAGCTAATGGTGCGTTCGCTTTCTCCTCGGAAATTCTAACTTCCCAGTAGGAACAATCAAATGAACAAAGA